GCTGCCGAAGGCGTTGGAGCGGCCCTTCATGGCGCCGGCGAAGCTGACCCGCGCTTGCGGGCTTACCGTAATCTCCACGATAAACAACGAGTTGCCAGCATAGCTCCTTCGCGTCGCTGGCGTCGCGCAAACCCGCGGGCCCGTGGCGGGGCGCGTATCTGGAGCCCCTTTCGAAGAAGCCCAATGCTGATCGCTGTCAAAGAACGGAGGACCCTCTTGCCCAGCGCGCCCACCCTGGCACCCCCCTCTTAAAAATCCTTGCCCCGTTCTGCGCGAGCAGCATAGCGACGCCATGCTGGCGCGCATGATAGTGACCAGGCCCAGAAACGCCAGCTCCTTCCAGATGTTTGGATTAACCGCCGGCTGCTCAAAAGCCCGATCCGCGTCGCCCAGGCCCGGTCCGATTTCCCGAAAAGAAACGCGGGCGCCAAAGCTCGACAGGCGCTGCGCCTCGGGGCACTGCGCGCCTCAAGGACTTCCGAAAGTAGGGGGCCAGGTTCGCGTAATCCTCGGGAGCCGTGATCTCGCGCTCGCTCTTCTCCCGCGCATCCAAAGCAGACGGTTGCGCATGCTCCCGCTGTCGCCCCCATGCCTCCCAATCAATCACCTCCACCTCCATCCCGGCCTCGGCGTCGCGTCGAGCCCAGAGCTCCGGCCGAGCAGCCCCGCTGAGCGCGGCGATGCCCACTCGGCGGCCATCTCGATGACGTGCTCCGAATCGGCAGTGCGCAGCATCTCGCGGTTATCGAGCAGCCTCACGCATGCGTTGCCCCCGCCAAGCTTCGCGAACTTGTTCCAGAAGAACCCCCTTCGCAGCAAGCTGCCTCGTCGGTGTCTGGTGCGGTCGCTCGCGTGGTCCTTGAGCTGCTTCTCAATGTTGGCCAGCTCGGTGACGGCGTGGTCGGTGGACAAGGCAGCCCGATCTCGTCGCAATTGTGCACGTGCTTCTAGTAGACGTCGCCCCGCGCACTCTCGAAGGCGAGGTGCTTGCGCTGGTCGACCCACCGTTCAAAGAATCCGCCGATCCGGCGCGTGAGTCTCAAAGACCCTCAGAACTGCCTAAGCTTCAACTCCTGAGCTTCAGCTCTACTGAGGGGCGGGTGCCGGGGCGGCTCTGCTGGGGCGGGGGGAAGGGGGGGGGGGTCGATTTAATTCCCGGGGCGGAATCGGAGCTCCAGCTCACTCCGGGACGGCCCCCACGCCCAGGAAGGCCCCAATACGGGCCAAGAGGGCCCCGAGTCGCCGAACGATCGCTACAAGACGCCCACGATGTCCCCAAAACGGCTCCAGGAGCCTCCAAGATGCCCTCAGAAGCACAGAGAAGGCCTCCCAAAGAAGGCTCAAAGACACAAAAAATGCCCCATTCCCTCGGGAAGACGTAGAACGTTAGCACATTCGCCTTTCGGGCCCCACCCAGGACGGGCCCGAGAGGCGCCTGAAAGGGCGCCAAGACGGCGGAAGTAATGCCGAAGACGGCCCAAGAAGCCCCTGGCAGGCCCCCCGAGGCCCCCCAGAGGCCTGAAGAGGCCCCGAGACGCTTTTGAGCGGCCCCGAAAAGGCCCCCTGAAGCCCCCTGAAGCCCCCTAAAGGCCCCCAAGAGTCTCACAAAAGGCACCCAAGCCGCCTTCTAGAGGCCCCCAAGCTGCCTCCAAGACTCCCCCCGAGAAGCCCCAAACTGGCCCCAATGCTTCCACTACACTTACGTCTGAACACAAGCGCTGCAATACAAAAAGGTTACTCCACGCTTTCACAAGGGCCCGCAGAGGACCGCGCGGAGGCCCCCGAGACCCCAGAAAACACCATGGTTCCCAGAAGAGACTGGTGATGCCCAAGGCTCCACGCAGAACTATGACGCAGACAGCTCTAGCACAAAGCTTTTCAGAGAGCGCGCCAAATCGGCAAGGTGCCAACCCAAAGAGGGCCAACGCCTGGCCTCAAAGACGATTTCCAACAACCGCCGAACATCTCCAACAACCGCCGAACGTCTCCTTATCCTCGTCATGCTCCTCCTTCTCCCCCTCCCCCTCTTCGATTTCCCGTTTCCTCCTGCTCCTCCTCATCCTCTGCATCCTGCTACTCCTACCCCTCCCCCCTCCACCCCCTCTCCACCTCATCATGATCCTCCTCCTCCCCCTCCGCATCCTACTCCGTTGCCTCCATGCCCAACCCTCATCATCATCCTCGCCGCACGCCGGCGTCGCCTGTCATGACCGCCATCGCGAGATCCCGGCAGCAACGGAAACGTCCCGGATCGGCGGCACTGGCCGGAGGCCACTACAACATTCTCGGAGGCCTCCCAATAGGCGTTAAGGGCACTGCGAAAAGCCAGGCCTCGAAATTCCGTCTCGCTGCCCCGTAGTTGATGGGCCACGTCCGCCAAAGAATCTGATTTGCCCTCGCTCCGGATGATGGCCGCCATCGTCGCGTCGCCTTTGGGTCGAGGAAAGGGTGCTGGTGGTAGCGCGCCTAGGTCCTTTTCGAAACGAAATTGCAGAACTAGCACCCCTCGGGCAGGAACCATCACTCGATCGTGTTCCCCACCGTTGGATTAGACGGGTAATACGTGTAGGCGTGCTGGCTGATCTTTTGTTCAACGAGGAGCTGTCGAATCTGCTCTCCGAAGCCACGTCACCGAGTGCGCGTATCGTCCAACGCAACACACGGAAACTCCGTCCACTTCCGCTGCGTGATCTTGGCGCCGACCCCGTCATAACGCCGGAATGGAAAAGCGGTCGCGTCCTGCACGGTAGATGTGGCAAGACACCCCCTCCGACATTTAGTAACCTCCCTGACCATTTCGTAGTGGATGCCGTTCTCGCAGTGTGAGCGCGGCTGAGGTGGGTAGTAGAGCACGCCGAAGGTCACGTCGACGGAGCCCTTTCTGCACCATGATCGCATGTCCACGGCCAGCCAATTTCTGAGGTGGTGCCCATGTCTGTCTACTGCGTCCGTCAGTGTAGCCGCTGCGTAGAATGATCGGGCAGCCCATGGTCTTGGCGGTGAGGTGACCTGGTTGTGGCACCGCTTCCGATAATAGACGGCCCCCCAGTCGAGGGTGCACGACTCCTTCGACCCTGGCAAACCGCCTGCGCACCACTGAGAAGGACCGCGCCGCAGGTCCTGGTGTGGTGTAGGACATCCTGCAATCTGACTCCACTCGCCCACATCGGAATTTGTTCCGGCAGCGATGGCCCCACGAGCCGATGCCGAGAAAGGGACAGAGACAGGGAAGTCGGCAAGCTGTCCTGCCGTAGGACCGTGATCGCCCTTGGACACTGGCGCACCAGGGAAGGGGGAAGGCAGAAGAAAGACGAGGACAAGGAGGGGACAAGAGGGCAGAGTCCTGGCCATAAACAGCACTCGCTCAACTCGGAACATGAAAGTACTTTTATACCTAAACAAACATACACATACATGCGCAGAAACAAAAAAAACATGTAAGGTTACGGATACAGCTATAGACCTATAAATGAGTAGAGAGATGTGTATATGACCCATATGTATATATATATATATATGTGTGTATGTGTATGCCCTGTCAATCGCAGTGCCGTGCTGGAAGATGGCGCCCTCCGCTGGCGCCAGAGATGGCACAGTGAGCCATCGCAAAAGGCAGCGGGTCTGCGAGGTCGCGCCCGCGCGGTGAGCCCCCATCATCAGGTCGTCACGTGCGTTTGAAGCTAGGAGGAGGAGGAAGAGGAGGAGGAAGAGGAGGAGGAGCCTCTGAGCTAGGATCTTCCGTGAAAGCGCTCCTGAGGCGCAAGTAGTAGTAGTAGTCGTCGCAGCCGCAGTCGCATTCGTGGCCGTAGCTGTCGTCGTCGTCGTCGTCGTTGTTGCGCGGCGGGTGCCGCGGAAAACAAGAATTAATTGCCCACATATTGGTGGGACCCCAGTCCTTCAATAAGGCCACCGAAACAAATAATTAGTTATCCCCCCTACTGAAGGGATCTAAAGACCCTTCGCTGTTATCGCGCAGGGGCTGCTCCGCTCCTCAAACGCTGCGCGCTGCGAAATGCATGATGAAGTCAGGGGAGATAGGGACCTGCGGAGCACGAGCGCAAGGCAGAACTGTCCATCTACCACGATCCATGTCAGCGGTGTGCTGGAATGGGCTGAGGGCAACATGCGAGAACTCCCACTGGGACCGTCGCTCCCTATGGGGCACGATCCTGGAAGGAGCGTGCAGATATGGGCGGAGGGCGTCATGCGAGCTTGCCCCCCGTGGCCGCCGATGGAGCTCCCTGTGGGTCAGGATTCGAGTGAGGGCTGCGCCGAAGTAGGCAGTAGGGCGGCATGTAAACGTACCCAGTGGGGCCGTGGATAGGCGAAGCTGCCTGTTGTGAAGTACCTTTTGTTCGTCGGCGGTGAGGCGGAGGCGATCCACACCAGCGTCGAGCTAATCGGGGGCACCGATAAGCAAACTGTTTGGCGTGCAAGAGAACGAGGAGGAGAAGAGGGCGGCCGCCTGGGGGGAGAAGGAGGGCTGCCTGTCAAGTGGAGTCCGTGCACGGTTTGGGGGATTTGAGATGCTGCGCGCGTCCTGCCTTGCCCGCGCGAGCGGGTGCATCCCACGTCATCGCGTGCGTCAAAAAATATCCGGACGCTCTGCGGAGCTTCTACGGCAGGACGGGAGGGAACGCGGGAGTGAGCGGGGCACACAAACTGGCTCGTTCGAGCATTAAACCCTGACCCTCGTACTCATTCTGTTGCATTATGCATACTGGTTCCTCCCCTCTCCTCTTACTCCTCTTTCACCTCCTCCTCCTCCTCCTCCTCCTCCTCCTCCTCCTCATCCTCCTCCTACTACTACTACCCCTCTTTACCCTCGTTGTCGTCGTCCTTCCGCCTATCAGCCTCATTCTCCTCGTCCCCCTCGTCTCTTATTCCGCATCGTCCCGCTGCTCCCATGGTAGCCGGGGCCCAAATTCGAAGGGCGGTTGTCCGCAAGCCCAGAGTCCTCTTCCCCCTGGCCCTGGCTCGGAGGGCGCTGCTCTTGCCGCGTCCTCCACCGTGGCCTTCACCACGAGCTGCGCGAACTCCTCGTGCTGGTGCACGCGCTTTATGCCGAACATCCCAGTGACCTCTGCGGGAGCGTTGCTCTGTGGATGCGTGCCAGACAGCGGTGGATCAGCACTCCGTGCAGTCGCAGTCTGGCCATCGGGCGCGCTATAAACGCTGCCGCAATATCGCAATGGCGATGCTCGATGGCATGGTAAGAAATCGCACGTGACGCACGGCCATCGGCTATCATACGCGCGACCGAGTGAGCGAAGGCGCTTCTCTGGCCGCGGTGGGCCTCGGCCACGAATAGTTTAACCCGGGCCGAGATCCGCGGAGCGGCCCGAAAACCAAGAGC